GAATGTAACTGCATATGTACCACAACCTGTTGTTTTTTTCTGCCTTTGAAACAGAACCATACACTTTGTGTGACAGATTGAACAGATCAGTCCACAGTGGTCCTGTCAGTCCTGGGTACGTTCTCAAGGAAAACGCAGAGTCATGAGTTAAACTGGCCCTGAAGGATTTCAGCCAAAACCTCAGGCTGATAAGAACTGGCTGAACCCATTCACCAATCCCAAGCATTCAACTGTAGTCATGGCAATGAAGTGGGGTTGTGTGATGGTTATTCTAGTCTCTCCAACCGATACTGTATTTTCAAGAAAAAAATTATTTGGATTTGATTCAGATTACCTCCAACCAGCAAAGTTCGGTTTTGTTCAATGCCAGAATGAAACATGACATTCTTGTGAGAATAGATTTTGAAAATGTAATTGCTGTGTTACACCAGCAGAGAAATGTCCTTTCATTGGAAATGTAAAATAACATTATCAACTCTTTAGTATTCTTTTAAACTTAAAAAATAATAATAAAGGGTATTAGCGTAAAACTTTTCCAGGTTATATGTTTATAAGCATGTAAAACCTCATTTGCGCTCCTATGTTCACAGTAGACACAGTATTGTGAGATCAAATATTATGGAAGACGTAGAAGGTAAAATTGATACTAAATAATTTGCTGGTCAAAATTTACGCTTTAACTTAATAGACTGTCCCCCTGCCTGCATGTGAAATGGCCAACTCTTTTTTCAATATGTGACTGAACAATAGATATCACAATAAGTGCATATTCATTTAATTTACTTATATTTCCGCACTGTTTATTCTTATACCAAGAAAGGACTCTGTGGATTATACCATGCTGTTTATTCCACATTTCAAGACAGCTAAGGCTGCCTGAGCATTCCCTTCTGCTTACAAACCTCTCTTGATCTTCAACCTTTGACCTCGCTCACTGGCCTTCATTTGAGAGGAAATCATATCCAACTTCTGTAGATAAGGTTGCCTTCAAAAACTCAGGTCTTTGGCACTAGCCAAACATAGTCTGGTCAGTATGAGCCTGCTTTAACTATCAGGAAAAATAACGACTCAAAACATACATTATTATCATAAAAGATGTTGCATTTATCCAGTCAAATGAACTCGTGTTCACTAAAATTGGCATTTATTTATTATCTCAGGGAATAAATCACCACAACCAGATATAAAATAACCATTGAAACTGTACATCCAGTTTTCTTTCCAATGATAACATCATTAAGCTGATGTTCTTGTCCTTCCACCTTCAGCTAAACTGTGTGTATAGTTACAGCTTGTCTTTTGGTGGACAGATAGTGGCCTTCCGTCTGCTTCCATCTGTCCCTCCACCTTCCTGACTGTGTTTAGCCTTCAGGCTTGTGTCGCCTGACTCCGCAGCATTAATGGATATGGGCATCTGGCAGTGCCACAGATTTGTAGGCACTGATAACGCTTATGCTTTGGTAAAAAGATTACATTAGAAATAAAAGGCGCATGATTGGGTTAGAGTGAGGAATAACATATGACAATGAAGCCCATATGCAGTGGGCTGTAAGTCATCATGCTTGGAATCAGAGAAAATTCACATTACTCATGATATATAAACTTAGTTTTTTTATCTAAAGGATGTATTAGCAGCGGCGTTCTGGCTCTTTGTATCTTTATATTGGAAGAATCGTGTCTTTAATCACCACACTTCCTTCTCAGAGATCATAAGTTGAACTAAGTTGTTAAAGTGTCATCCTCAATACTGAAGACTTGTACAATACCAGTGTAATTAGCTACACAAAAACACAGGGAATGTTGCGTCCACTTATCAAATGACCTTTTCGGTCTGTGGTCTTTTTTCCTGGTTTCCTTTGGTGTCGAAAATACAGTGCATTGTTTCTTGTGTTTTGCAGTGATCAACATAATATGTCTCATTCACAAAACTATTTGTAAGTATATTCTGGGCAGATTACTTAACATCATGTTTAATACGTTACTTTAGAAGAGCAGAAATGCAAAAAATGTAATAGGTTTCTAAACTGGGTCCAGGGTGTACCCTGCCTCTCGCCCATCAAATACTGGGATAGGCTCCAGTCCCTCTGCAAACCCATTTGGTACTTAGAAAATGGATGGATGGATGGATGGATGGATGGATGGATGGATGGATGGATGGATGGATGGATGGATGGATGGATGGATGGATGGATGGATGGATGGATGGATGGACAATCTGTTCACTATATATTTATCTTAGCATGAAATTGCATAAATATACAAACTTCACAGGGCAAAACTCAACAGTCTTTGATTGAACAAGCTAGATATTCTGTTCACTCTAAAAAGTTGAAAATACACTATATTGCCAAAAGTATTTGCTCACCTGCCTTGACTCACATATGAGCTTAAGTGACATCCCGTTCCTAATCCATAGGGTTCAATATGACGTCGGTCCACCCTTTGCAGCTAGAACAGCTTCAACTCTTCTGGGAAGGCTGTCCACAAGGTTTAGGAGTGTGTTTATGGGAATTTTTGACCATTCTTCCAGAAGCGCATTTGTGAGGTCGCACACTGATGTTGGACGAGAAGGCCTGGCTCTCAGTCTCCGCTCTAATTCATCCCAAAGGTGTTCTATCGGGTTGAGGTCAAGACTCTGTGCAGGCCAGTCAAGTTCATCCACACCAGACTCTGTCATCCATGTCTTTATGGACCTTGCTTTGTGCACTGGTGCACAGTCATGTTGGAAGAGGAAGGGGCCAGCTCCAAACTGTTCCCACAAAGTTGGGAGCATGGAATTGTCCAAAATGTCTTGGTATGCTGAAGCATTCAGAGTTCCTTTCACTGGAACTAAGGGGCCAAGCCCAGCTCCTGAAAAACAACCCCACACCATAATCCCCCCTCCACCAAACTTTACACTTGGCACAATGCAGTCAGACAAGTACCGTTCTCCTGGCAACCGCCAAACCCAGACCCGTCCATCAGATTGCCAGATGGAGAAGCGCGATTCGTCACTCCAGAGAACGCGTCTCCACTGCTCTAGAGTCCAGTGGCGGCGTGCTTTACACCACCGCATCCGACGCTTTGCATTGCACTTGGTGATGTATGGCTTGGATGCAGCTGCTCGACCATGGAAACCCATTCCATGAAGCTCTCTGCGCACTGTTCTTGAGCTAATCTGAAGGCCACATGAAGTTTGGAGGTCTGTAGTGATTGACTCTGCAGAAAGTTGGCGACCTCTTCGCACTATGCGCGTCAGCATCCGCTGACCCCGCTCCGTCAGTTTACGTGGCCTACCACTTCGTGGCTGAGTTGCTGTCGTTCCCAAACACTTCCATTTTCTTATAATACAGCTGACAGTTGACTGTGGAATATTTAGGAGCGAGGAAATTTCACGACTGGATTTGTTGCACAGGTGGCATCCTATCACAGTTCCACGCTGGAATTCACTGAGCTCCTGAGAGCGACCCATTCTTTCACAAATGTTTGTAAAAACAGTCTGCATGCCTAGGTGCTTGAATTTATACACCTGTGGCCATGGAAGTGATTGGAACACCTGATTCCGATAATTTGGATGGGTGAGCAAATACTTTTGGCAATATAGTGTAAATACATAAAATAAATGAAATACTGTCTATGTCAGCTTCTCTTTCTGTTTTACACATCATAGTGCCTGTAAGTAGTCTCGTGGGCCAAAGCGAGAGCCTTCACAGGCCACACAAGATCATGGGAGAGGTACAAAAGACTTCCTTTAGCCTGAGACTAGCTCTGTGTTCATCACTGTGATATCAACATCTTTAAGGCCACTGCCCCAAAAGACTGCTTGGCTGATTAACAGACTCCTTTTATTGTCATCTCACAAAAGCATTGATTTAATCTGAGGCTTCAGTTCACTGGAATGAGAAGTGACTGTAGTCATAAGGAATTTGTGATTTGGAGTGTGATAGCCACAGGGTTCAATGATATAAAAGAAATTCAGAGCCCTGTTCACAGATATGACCTCTCTCTAAACCCTCAATCTTAATAAAGACTGTGGTCTTTGTTACTTTGGGTGGGATGAGTCCATGTAGACAATGAGACAAGCTTCCGAGTGGCATTTAGTTTGATGGGCCAACAGCTCCTATAGAGTGAAACTGCGATGAAATGATTATGCAGCTGATGAAATAAATGTCCAGTGCATTGTCTGCTCAGCAAATATGGGCTCACAAATATTCTATTCACTTCATCCTGACCCCCAGTGTTGAACCCAGTAAATCAACTTCATTCTGCACAGAAGTTCATCATAAACTTGCTCAGTGTTTATATATCAGCCCACAGCTATGTGTGTATGTCACTCAAAGTTGGAAAGTTCTGCTTTATCCCTGGGCTTTTTCTCGATATAAGAAGGGCTGCTTCTCAAAAAAATGTTGCATGGCTGTCACTGAATAGTCCAAGAATAGCCCAAGTACCAAGAATGCTGCTGCATGTCTCTGTGTCCTCTGTGAGAGTCATGATAGTGATTTGTATCCTGTTCCTTGGCTTTTTTAGCCTCAAGATTTTTCAGCTCATCTGATGTGGCAAGTGGTTAGAGTTTTCTTGTTTTTGGACCCGCCATTATTTTCACATACTGGTACTGTCAGCATAGAGGCTTACTTTGTTATTTAGCTCTAATGTTATGGTGCATAGTTGCAGTGTGTTGTGAATTGACTGAAAGCTATTTGAATAGCTACGATCTTTGAGCTCATGTAGCATTAATGAGATTTTCATTTCTTGTAAATGCCTCTTTAGATTATCTGCTCCTGCTCTCCAACTGTTAGTATTGTGGCATGCTGATTGCTTTTCTGGAAATGTACAGATTTCCTCTTACACTGTTCAGTGTTTATGTACAACTTGTTTTTAAACAGCAAACAAATGTATTTCATGAGAATGTTAAACTTCAACTTTAACATAAATTTATGGGAATATTAAATTTGTGCAGCAAAGCCAGCTACAATGTACACGTGTCAGCTTAGTTTGACAAAAGATGCACAAACTGATTTTTTTTAATGAAAGTGAATTATCTTACCTTGACAAACTGTATCACTGTTTGGGGTGCAGGCCTGTAACACCCCTTCTTCATCACAGGAGGTGCACGGGATGCAGGGCTCTCGAGAACTTTCCTGGTCTGAGTACGTGTCTGCGGTGCACTCCTCACACACTGTATCTCGGTCATACTCACAGCTGTACAACATGCCCCGACCCTCTGGACACTTTGTGCAGTGTTCACAGCGTCCCAGGAGCTCATTAAAGTAGTAGCCATAGTTGCACACACAAGTTGCATCGCTGGCGTCAGTGCACGGTGTGTCCATGCGGTGTAGGCCTTCACATTGTGTACAGGGCTGACATTTCTCTGTGTGACTGAAGTTTTCAGAAAAGGTTTCACCTGCAAGAAAAAATATGGACATTTAACTTGGGACAAAAAGTTACGGAAAGCTTTTTCCAATTAAAGATTTAGTCTGGAAGCCTATACTAGTGTGTTGATGTGCAAGTTTCCTGTTCTAAACCATTCTCTTTCTTATTAGCTTTGATGTAGAGTAACCCGAAACTAAGGGAACGCAACCCCAAAAATGTCAAAGAATAGTTTCAATGAATATAGATGCGCTGCAACTGTTTCTTGGAGGGAGTTTTTAAAATGAGAATTAGTTCTCGTACTTTTTGGACCCAAGCAGGATTTCAGAGTATATGTACAAAGGATACAATCAATACTGCCTGTTTTGTGGAATTGTATTTCAGCTACATAGAGAACTGGGATATGCACTAAATTATGCAGCAGACCCATTTGTAAGAGCAGTTTGTGTGCTTGTGTTTGTGCAAGTCACAGCAAAGGATATCAGAATAGACTCAAACTATTACTGTAAAATCTCTGCCATGGAGCACAAGATAAATGTCATTTGACAGCTAATGCTTAAATAAACATTCCATTAAATCTATTTAATTTCATACTGCAAGATGAAGACAATGTATGTTGGTCAATTTGTGGAAGTTTTTCTGACAAGATAAATCAGAGCTGAATAATGCAAAAAGACTGTTTTAATTCATCAAAACCTAAAGCAATGGCCTCAAAGAGCTAAATTAAACTACTAAAACAGGAACACCTCTTTTTTTTCCACATTTTAAACATCGTTTTTTTGTGTAAAGACTGAGGTGTTCCTCCTCAACTTTATTACACAATTGTGTGATACATTCGTATACTGTATACCAAGATACAAAGGTTTGCAATATGGAGCAGTTGCTCTGAATTCTACAAATTTTGGAGAAAATATACCTTTTTAAACATGACAGTATCTTTATTATTTAAGATTAAATCATAAGTTGGATCATTAGCATAATAGGGTTATTTAAATGACTACTGTTCAGGTCAACATGTACTTAACCCATTAGGAGTATCTAGTACATCAACCAATATCACTTCAACAATAAGTAGGCTGTTTCATCTGTAAATGCCAAGACCAAGTGTCGTATTTAGACAGCAAAATGTACTTAAAATTAAGTTCCAATATATAAAACAAAATCATGTTGAAAACCGCTTTAACTTTAGCTCTAAATAATAAACCACACAATATTCTACAGTTTTGCTGAATAAGAATCAGTGGGTTGTAATAGGTTACAAATGACTGTGGGTCATCTTTTAATTTGAGCTCTTAAAATAGAAGAAGACAAGGTTGGAGACAGGAGGCTGCTGGCATGCAGCAACCATGTGGACCCTTTTCAGCACATGGTCTCACAGCATATCAAGTTTTCAGTCAGTGGCCCACCAACCACAATGAAAGCTCTGACCATACAGAGATTTAAATGTAGATGAAAAGAGATAGGCGCTGAGGCAACGATATACACAGACAAAAGGAAGGAAAGAAGAACCAGGTGAATCCATGTGGGTAACTGTCTTTAATTGACGGTGTCAAATGTGTGTTCCTCTCATTTTTGTTTAATTATGTTTTCAGGAGTGGACACCAACAGTCCTTCTCACTTTGTGCGTTTGCTGGTGTCCAGTTATGTACTGCTGTCCCCTCACCCCTTCCCCATTATCTCCCACAACAACCTCCCTCTCTTTAAACAGACACACACACTCAGAATGTCCTCACTACCCCCATGAGTGCTCTCTGAGCCATTATCATAATGCCATGCATCAATAATGCAAGTCAATACATTAATAACACTGTGACTGCTGAATGGAGAGAGGGGTGGGTGGTTGGGTGGGTGGAGGGGAGGCGATTGAAGCAGATGGAGGAGGGGAGTGTAGATAGTCTTCTCTTTCCTCAGTAAATCAAAGAACAGCAGTACTTTCTCTACTGATTTTATGTGATCCTTCCCTTAGTTCCACCCCCCAAAGTATGTATTGCTTACTTAATCATTTCTGAGCATTGTGCTGCAAATGTTGTGTCTGCATGTGAGAGTTATTTTCTTGTCTGTACGTGTATGTGTGTGTGTATGAACCATTAACTGGATAAGATGTTTTGCTTGTCTCCTTTCCAGCAGTACAACTGTTTCATCTCTTCTTATCAGACCATCAATCCTAACTCCTCTAAGTCTTTCAGTTTGCCTTCCTCTCTTCCACTTCAGCCAGGTCTCTGTTAACTATCTGCATTAAATGGAGGCTTGAGAGGAAACCAGCGTGCAGCATATAACTGTATACTTCTAAAGAAAATGCAAGAATCTTGTGGAAATATGCATTAAAAAACATGTAGAGGACATCTCCTGAGGTGAAGTTGATGCTGAGAGAATTTTAGATACCACAAATCTATCTATTCCTCTAACCATTTTCATAACACACTTATTCCAGTTATCACAGGGTGAGAGGCGAGATACAGCATGGACAGGTCCCAACAATATCTTGTTTCTTCCTGTAACAAGAAATTGCAGGAATGAAAGGGTTCAGAATCTTAACCCTACAGAAGAAGACAAAAGGTTTAAGTTTTGTCGCAGGTCCAGAAGAGGGGATGTACTGGCTCCAGAAAGATGTCCCATTTATCTAGGAATAAGTGGGATGTGCCTAAAAGAGAGAATCTGAGCTCTTTCCACATTATAAAGATTCGCCCCCTGTCCAACAGACACTTTCCTATCCTGGAAAGCTTCCAGCCATGCGAGATCAGTGTGGGTCAAAGAGGCTCATGTCTGCTTCTTTGCAATAAAGAGGTTAATGTAAGGAGGGACAAAATGTCTGATAAATCATTGGGAGGAATTATATGACATTGTAACTGTGGATTTATTCAAGAATATCCATCCATCAATTAGCCACTTAGTACCTAGAGTAAAATATATGAATAGGATTGTCCTACTGATTATGTGGAGGACTGCCTGGGGTTTGAGCTGACTCTAAGCTCACACTCTTGTGCATATTCACAATATTTTTTTATGCAAACAGATGTTAGAATGGCCAGTGATGAGTAGTCCAGAGGCTATCTGCTAACAGTACATTGTTAGTTGTGATGCATTTCTAATAGCTTCATTCCACAAAACAGATATGAATGAATACTTTTCCATCCCCACATTCTTTATGACATCTCTCATGACCTAAAGACCAAATTGTTTTCTTACTGTGGGACTCCTTGGCTCATGGTTTGCTATCATTCACTGACCCAGAGAGGTTGACAGCTACATCCTGCCCTGTATTCAGGATGGTCAGGGAATTCATAGAAGGAAAACTATGGGAAACTGGCTGTGGATGAATCCTGTTCTCCACAAGCTCTATAATACTCATATTATACTCACATATGGGACTTACACTTCCTCTACCTTCAAGCATAACTTCCCCGAAGAGAAACGATGTATTTCTTTGACAACTTCTGTCATTTGCCACACTCACAGTGTTAGGTTTGAGTCCATTCTGCATAATTTATTCAATGCTATCATAAACCCTGTGTGTCTAAATGCAGAACACTAATTGTAGTTGTATTTTTATCCGTTGTATAAACTTCAATATCTGAAGTTGGTCTCACTCATCTTGCTATCACTGTCCTCATATTGTCTTTCAGTGTGATGCAGCCCATCTCCTTACATGGTAAAGGCCAACAGAAGGGCAGCTATGTTTGCAAACTGTTATGTCTGGCCTTCAGTTTACTTTCAAATTTAAATACATTAAATCTATCGTTTGTAGGGTTTTGCAAGACACCTAAGAGGTGGAAAGTTATTCTTAACACTTGTGCACCCTCCTGGAGTCATTCATACCCTGGTTTCACTGAATCCAGGTTATGAATGATTGATTTTAAAGCTGTTGTACTGACCCAAAACATTGTTGTGGCCCATTATGTTTGGTAATGTTCCAGCCTCTTTTCAGCTGCAGGTCATGACCATAAGGGGGATATATGCCACCATTAGTTTCATCTTATTTTTAAAACTAAGGACAGTTGGAGTTGTTTCGGCTATATATTCAGCCTTCTTAACAATCATTGCATGCTGGCAAAAAAAAGTGTGACTATACACATACATATATATACACAAATATACCATGGTGCCATAAAATACTTTTTTTGTGAAAACTTGGCAGTTATACACCCAGTGTTTATGGCCATAGATACCATCAAATGAATGTTTTGCAATACTCACTGTCAAGGCACTGAGCACAAACAGTTTGAGTGGCTCCACATTTTCTGATGACGCCCTCGCCGGGCGGACACTGACTGCAGCATTCTCCACTGTCTGTGTACGCGTTAGATGGACACTTCTCCATGTTGGCCAAAGCCCCAACCTGTTGGACAACAGAGAGGTGGCATGAAGAGACATTAACATCCAGCAGAAAATCTCAGATCATAAATACAAAAACATGCTAAAGTTCTTTATTCATCTGAAAAAAGGCAAACTGTGTGTAAGAAGTGAAGAATTTGTTTAGCACTGTTCAGTGGGAGTAATTGAAATAAAGTCATTTTCCTTCATTTCCTTCAAGCTATTTTAGATGCTGATAAGAGGAGTTGGAAGGGGGAGGCAATGTTTTGCAATTGCGAAAAGGAAAGAGAGGGAAAGTCTCAATTTCTCTCTTTTAATCTCCTTGGGTTTATGTTGGAACTACAAATCAGTGGTTTCTAGCCAGCAAATGGTAAAACAACAGCAATTTCCCATGTTCTGTCTTGATTGTCTTAGCTCTTGTAAAATGCATAACAGGTTATCCTGATCTGGCTTCTAAACGCATTCACATAAAAAGGGAAAGTTACCCGGCGGTTAAATTAATTTCAACCTGTAGACATATGGGACTGTGTAATGTGAGGTCACAAAGAGCCATGGCTTTGTGACCAGAACCAGAACTTTAGCAACCCAATTGCTTTCATGCAGACACTGTGTGCACATTTATAAGTATATGCCAGATATGCAGTAATCACATCATCTAGACAAAGTTCCACTCTAAAAATTCTACAAAGAGCAACCTGTTGAGTGCTTTATCTTCTGTGTTGACAGGTAAAGATGTTTGTGCAAGCCTCTGCTAATACATAAATACACGAGAATGCACACACTCATGCCTGAACCTGGTTGTGACTATTTTCACGATTGTTTAGAGCCTGTGTAGCCTTTTAGATTATATTACACAACCTCTTTCTCATAGCAGTTTGTTTTTATGTTTTTTATACTCAGCACACTCCAAATCAAACCTTGAACGAATCAGCTATTGTGCTCTGACAAGTCTCACATTCTCTTCATATACACGAGGTGTTTTCTTTTCTTTTCAGAACAGCCTGTATGCTCGACTGAAAAGCTACGGATCAGGGGTCAGACAAAAGAAGACTGCAAAAAGTAAAGTTTTGATCACTTTTTTAGAATATATGTCATTCAGTGAGCAACAAATGAGTCACTGAGTTGTTTGAGGCACATCATGAGTAATAGGGAAACATACACTTTCACATAGTGTGAGGATGTGCACACACATGTTGGTACAATATACCGACAGGTCCATTTGTGTGAGGGTGGTACACCCAGCATAAATTGTCAGGATTCAGGTGTGCAAGGAATGTTGCTGACAAGAAATGGAAGTTTTACCGATCAAATGTTCCCTCAGGCACTTCTCAGTCAGCTGACTCTTAATGTCTGTGTGTGGGTGTGTGTTTGGGTACACTTTCATGTGAACACAATCCCTTTTTCCCTGGTCATGCTTAGGTCATGACTCACTCATCTTAAAGACTGGTGTCAATCCTGTGTACTGTGTATTTAAGAGTATCTTCTGCTTTAAGCTGACATTTAAAATGTTTCCAAACTTCCTCCAGCTTCTGCAAATGACGAGCAAAGTCAACTTACGTTCAACCAGAAGAAAAATCATTTTCGTCACTGTCCTCTCTTGTTGTTTTGAGAACTTGGGGAACCACAACATACCTTAATAATGTTCTGGTTCTTACTGTGTGCTGTGATCTAAACTTAAAAATGAGTTGTCTTATGTCTTATGCTCATTTGCAGCTGGCCACGTTCATCCCTGCTCTGCTTCCCCTTGTGTATGTTTTCACAGATGCCTCAACACAGCTTTCATGTGAACGAACCTGTTCTGAAATGACACTTTTGAAATGACTCCAAGCTCCGGCACTTGGCATCAGCATTTTATTCTTTGACCCCTGTTTAGCTCCAGGTGTAGGTGCAGCCCAACACCTGCATTACTTATTATTAATGTGCATTACTAATGCCTGCTAAGATGTTAAACCCAGTGAAGTAGAGGGAAATGGGATTCTAGCAAACACAAGTATAAAAAAGTATTTAAAAAGGAGGCATAGCTTTTTGTGTAACTGGTTTTGATTTTAGGAAATTATAAGACTGTACTCCTCTATTCAGAGAAGCTTTCAGGAAGTTTGGGCATGATTATCCAACACACGCATAGAATATGCACGCTGGAATCTACAGAAGCATGTCGATCCACAACTTCAGAGCTCAGCTTGGGCCCACTGCAGGTTTGCTCAATTTTAAATTGGAGACACTTAACCTCTGGACCTTAGCTGTCAGCACTCATTAAGCCATTAGCCCTCCTCTAAACCTGCCTACCAATGAGCTTGACCTGATCCTAAACCACCGATGGATCTTGAACGGCATTAGGCAAGAACCTGATGACCAACAGCACTGAATCATCACCCCTTAAGGTGTGAAAAGAAAAAGGGCAGAAAGTGAAGAGCGTGGAGGTGAAAGCAGCAGAGGAAGACTGGGGCGGGGGGAAGGCAGGGGGGATCTGGGTCTATCAATATTGCATGTGCTGAGCCAGCAGAGGATGCATAGCCATCAGTGGGAGCAGCTGTCATGTAGTTATCAGTGATGCAGCCGGCTCCTAAACCGGGCCCATGACGAGCTCATGGCATAATTCTCTGTTTCCTTCCGGTGCCTTTGTGACCTCAAAATAAGTCTGAGCGATTAAACGGCAACTCCCAAAAGATTTGGTGTATCCTCTTAATATTTCTGTTGTTTTTCAGCTCTCTCGTGCGGTCACGTTGTCCTTATGTGTCCTTATCTCCTCTGAGTGTGTGTGTGTGAATGGCATGGTTGTGTTGACTTTAAAATGTTGTCTTCTCATTGTGAATAGGATGTCATGTGGTTCTCTATAAATAGCTAAATCCCCTTGTGACAAATGAGGGATTTGTGATATTGGGCCATTTTTCACAAACTCCATAAATCGGAAATTTCCCAATCTCTTCCTGTTGAGTCTCTGTGGTGTCCACTGCAACAGTTTTTGTCCTACTGTTTGTCTCAGACACATGTAACTGACACCAGAGCTATAAAGTATCTACCTGAACATCTGCAGCACACCTCTGTTCTGCTTTACATTGTCAGGGCAGAGATGGGAGAAATCTTTCATATAAGTATGTATATGTTTTAGAATCCAATGCAGTGATTTGTTTTCATTAGTTCATGTAAAATACCAAGATCAACACAGACTGGAGGACAAAAACTTTGAAAAGCGCAGGAAACTTCCTCGCAGACTCGTGCTGCTTATCTAAGAGCCTCTTCTGGGATACACAGGTGCGCAAAGTTCATGGCAAGCAATAAGCTACGTGAAACGATAGAGGGTACTCACCAGTCCAAGCAACATAGCCAAAACAGACTTCATCATGTGTCTCCTTTGCATCTTTCCAGTGGGGGGGTCAACGATTGGATGCAACGCAGGAGGATCCGGGTCTCAGCGACTTCGAGGTGAAATCACTGCTCTCATCGCTGCGCCTTTTTTCGCGGTTGCTTATAGTTTTGCTGTCAAATAATAAGCGACAAAGTGGGAGAAAACTCTACAAGTAAAAAAAAGTCGAAGAAGAAGTTTGGCATAAGTCAGTCCGTAAGACGTGACGACACACACACATCCCGGTCTGTGCGTAAGCGCGGCGCACTGAGGACTGGCCCGTTGGGTTTTGGTGTGTGTGTGTGCGCCTGTCCTCCGCCGGGCTCATATGACAGCAGCGCGCAGCTCAACAGCTTCAGGGAAGTAGCCATCTCCAATCCACGCCCACACAGCACACAAACACACGCGTGTCTATCTTTACAACTCTGAATTATGTTTCAGGATGTTGATAAACCGATTGTATACCTGTACCACCAAGACTTTATTCAGTCAGTGATGGCAGATCATTTGCAACCATGTCTGCTCTGCCTGTGAGCAGAAACTAAATCACTAAAGGTAATTCTCAAACTCTTAGCTCCTTAAGAAGTGGATGAGTGGCGAACCATCCGTGTTCTGCCTATCCTGTGTTTGCCTGGTTGACCTTGTTTTGTCACTACCTGTAGACAGAGGCCAAATCAGAGCTCAGCAACACTTCCCCCCTGAGGACTGAATGTATGAATGCACCTTCTAACGCGTAATCTGAGATCCACGCATGTATAGTCTACTGATATTGAACAGCCAATGATTCCACCTTCCATAACTTCACATGTAAACCTTTTCATTTTTTTTAAAACAACTCCCGACCTAATCACAACAGTAATTCGGCCTGTTTGGAACTTGGTACATGCTATTTGTGGGTTAAAGAGTATAGTGCTTCTTAACAAAAGTTGTATTTGTGCATAACTAGGGGAGACAAAATGTTGTGTGTTCATCATACTCTACTCTGAGCTCTAAACATAACCACATAACCCACCCTCTGTGTTCTGCACAGACTGTTGCATTGACCATACAGGCTGAATAAAAAGCTAACATAACATCTATCTATTAATAGATTAGTTTTAAGCCTAATGTTTAATTTAGTTTCAGTAAAGTACTGGTTCCATGTCTGCGTTTTGTTTTATTTTCTTTACAGTTGATATGGATCTACCTCATGGATCACATCGATGAGGTTGTGATTTACACAAAGCGTGTCAGTGCTAAAGGCACTGGAGGGCATGGGGGTTGCAGATGAGGAGAAAAAAAGAGTGTGCTGCTGTTGGTGGATAAATAATGCATGAATGCAATAAGACAAAGAGACGGACGTAGAATAAAAGACACAGAGAATGAAAGGAAATACATTCCTGAGTCATTAATGTCGACCAGGATACACAGATCTAATTTCCACTATGTGAGAGTCTGTTCATATCCCACCTGAAATCATTCTCTGTTACTGTCAAAGATAATTCCAGCAACCAAAACCTCAGACTAATAGTTTCTTTAAAAAGCTCTGAAATCACCTTCATTTTGGCTGCTACAGATGGGAGGAAACTCCCTTGTGCTAATTCAGTAAATGTATTTGTTGGGTGAATCTCGAACTAGTCCTAAACTTGAAAGGCTATTATTATGCTACTCTGAGGGGGGGAGGGGGGGTCAAAACTGGCAGGCTTATATAACATGGTAAAAGAAAAGAGGAACAGAATAATTTAAGTAATTCA